CATGGGCCAGATTATTGTTTGTTCTGTGTGCCAAACTTCACCAAACGAAAACAGTGATTTATTTTAGCATCCGTAGATAATAAGATAGCAGCGCTGGCTGAACACAGAAGGCCTGAGAATACAGTTCGGCAAATACCTAACACACGCAGCAGCAGAATGGAGAGTTGGCACGTCAAAACGGACCGAACGCCGAAACACGTGCAAAACAACGATAAAAAAAGCCTAGACACGCCGTTCGTCCGCGAAGTAAGGGCGTCAAAGTCGATCAAGCACCAAAACACGTGCATAAGGAGCCCCCCCTCCCCCCCCCCCCCCCGCCCACATATATCGGAGAAAAAAAAAGCGGACCCAAACGCGCTTCTCATCAGCCATCCACTTAGTAGCACGCTTCACCGTGTAGTTTGAGGGCAGAATGACAAATCTGCGCCATCTGCGCCCGCACGACAAGTGTGGCGCTAGTGTAGCAAACGATGTAAGTTACAAAGTAATTTTTATTCAGTGTTTATGTTGACTAGCACTAAATAAAAATTACACTCAACTTTTTATATTTATTTATGAGTTTTAGTGTACCTCAGTTTTTTTTTTTATAATTGTATTAGGAGAGCACACTGAAATTATTGCGTTGACGCCTGTGCTGCCACTGCTCGACGTTTTTTTTTTTTTTTCGGCGCAACTAGGTTCGCGTTCGCACTACTTACTCATTTTCATATGGTCTGTGGTTGGCGAGCACATGGGCGTGCGAGCTTGTGAGTTATGTTTTGATCGTGTGTGTGTGTCGCAGATTTGCATTTCTACTTATTCGTGATGAAGGTTAGTGTATATTTATCTTTATGAAGCGCGAAGTAGTTGTGGATTTTGCTGCTGGGTGGAACAAACACATCGTAAACACGTCTTCAGCTATCTGCAAGCCTGTTCGCTCGTCGGACAAAGGACTGAGCATGCATCGGCGTGCAGGTGAGTGGCATTTCCAGCAATATTTAATGCTCTTACAATACATTGTTGAGTGGTTGCGCTATTGAAAGAGAAATGATTTGCTCTTATTCACCGTATCCATTGCTAGCCGTATCGGACTAAATTACCTCTATTACCGCCTGCATACCCTCTTGCTTCCCCTGTCACCACTGCAGTGCCAGTGTACTTTTGCAGTTAAAAGTTCATTTCCGCAACACTACCTCGCTTGAAAAAACATTGGGGCGGGGTTGTAGCTGCATTCATACTGGCACTTTTCTACCATTGGCTTTATGTAATGTTAACGGCTGAGTGTTGGGGCCTTGTGCCGCATTTTTTAGAGATGTAATGTGTATGTAAATCAGTAAGTGAACAAATCATTGTCGCATCACTTCACTGGCATAGCCAGGCGGTTGCGCACAGAATTTTTTTAGGCCGGGCGTAGGGAGCCCAAATTGACGACCATATTCGCTTGCCCGGCCTATTCAGATAAGCGGACCCCCCCCCCCCCCCCCCCTCCCCGCACGCCTAAAAAAAAAAAAATCTGCCCACATCACTGCGTCACTTGCTTCACCTCTGCGCTGAACGTACTATTTTATAAGCGCACCATCAAGCGAGCAGTTTACATATTGACAGAACAATTGGAGGAGGAATGACCCAAATCTTTCAGATTTCTTTAGTGATGCAAAACCTTAGCAAAACTGAATATTGTAAAAGACAATCATAAATGCTGTATGTTCTCGTTAGCGCTGTCATTATTCTGCATCATGAAATCTTTATGCGCTGTGAAAACTTGGCATGTCGTTAAAGTCACATATCGACGTTAATACCAATCGACGAAAATTTCGACAACCTCAATAACGCCGTTTGGGATTTGCCGCATGCACATAATTAGGCTGATTCCCACTTGGCTGTTCTTAACCTGACTTCACTGCTACCAAATGAAACAATATTTGATGCATGTCTTTTACTTTTTTTTCAGGGATATGACACAAATTTGGTTATACTGCAGATAAAGATGCTCCCAACGATGCTAAAGTACAGAAAGCAAGTGAATTTTGGTAAGTGCAGACTTTTTGTACTACGTATATGAAAGCATCGCTTTTTAGGGGCAAACTGTGCATGTGTTGGCCAGAGAATAGTTCATTATGCCACATGGTTACACTGGCACTGACAATTCGACATGGCTCCGCTGGCCCGTGTGTGTGCTCACACTGTTACCGTTAAGATAAAATGTTTATGTTTTCATCGCAGGGATTGCTGTTTGTACTAAAAAACCAACTGCCAAGATTTGTTTACGCTGGTACTCCTAAAAGTATGCTTTCCCTATTTACATGGATTTTGGCTTGCACAAAGCATAACACTTGGGCCTAGATTCACAAAGCTGTCCATGCGCAGGCCTTCATAACAGCGTTTCTTGACTTGCCTTTACCCTGTTTTCTGCAGATGTTTCGTGGGTTTAAAAGTGCCACAGCATGTTGACCTCCCCCACTCTGAAATATTCGCGTTCAAAGTTCCGCAAGAGTGGGCTTAACTTTCTTGTGCACCTCTTTGCTAGTCCAAGATACTGAAGTGTTATGCTCTTACTAGAGGTGGCAGTGTTTCTAATGTTTGTATTTCCATCACATTGACCAAGTATGCGATCTTGGCTTGACTGGTAGCACATCCTCAACACATGTCTTTGTGGCACATGTAGAAGGCAGTACAAAATAAATAGGCAGACATTCACACCGGGAGCTAACTTCTAATAATGCTTTTTTTTTTTTGGAAACCATGGTGTGCTTATTCCAATTTGTCTAACAAGCAGTAACCTGTTTGGCTGTGAACCAACAAGACGTTGAACTAATAAAAGCTTCACATCTTGTTGCTCTCAAATATATATGTATTGGCAAGCTATCTGTGACACTGTCAAACAAAGAATCAGAATATCTGTGCATGCCTTAAGATATATTGCTTCGTTTACATATCTCGTGGCTGTGACTCGTCAACCGAGTGAACAAATGCACCCTACTTTTCTAAATTTAAAGCATTTTTTGAAGGTAGCATGGTCTACATTTATTTGTCTATAGTTTTGTCCAGCCGTTTGCGTCAGGTACAAAGAAATATACTGAAAATCATCATGTAGCCTCTGCAAATGGTTGCTTTCAAGCAGGCTTTGCATGCTTGGCTTGTGCCTACAGGTATTGCACAATTCAAGACGCAGCAGCGTATGATAGAACAGTAGACTCGAGAGCAACTATGTGCACGAGCTAAATAAGTATTTTAACATGAGCGGACAGTACGTGTTATTTGCCACACACATGACCTCATTTAGAATGCCCATTGGTGAATGGGCTCATAGAAATGTCACTCAGCTGTGTATAGGAAACAAGTTAACTGAACCTAAGGGTATCTTTAACTGCTACAAATATGCCTTGTTGAGGTGCTGCACATTTTCTTCCAGAATATTGCTGTCTGAGACATCATGTGAAGAGCGTCTACCACATCAGCATTTATATGGCTTGCCAAGTAACGTTTGGCCGAACCTTCCTTTTTTTCACATTTCGTTTTGCAGTAGACATCCTAGAATGTAAGCGCTGCTGCAGTGTGTGTGATTCATTGTTATGAATTGATTCTGGCATGTTTAACCTCACACTTCTATTTTTTTTTCTTGCAGCAATGAGATGCTTCACATATGCCTGCGGTGACGTTCTGCTGCGCTAGCCTGATGGAAACACCAGCTGCGAAACTTGAGTTCTTCAGAATAAGTTGCCCTTCTCTCACCAATGATGACACAGACTGCCCTATGCTAGAAATTCAAGATTGTTTTTCCACGGATGACGCAGAAAACCTTTGATGTATTATGGCGTTTGTTTAGTGCTGGCTGTGGTGTGGCGAAGTCTACTTTTACGTGTGGTCACACGTCGCCTCATAAAAAGAAGAATAAAGCATTTATTTTCCTTTAAATATTGTCCACTTTTTGTGTTAGAAGCACCCAAGCAGTGCTCTTCCAAGGAGCTCTCGCCATGTGTTAAGCGTGTGACAAGCATACTCGAGATAAATACTCATTTCCCCAAGGAGTAACTGGCAGCATGTGCAGTTGGTTTTCAGAGAGTAACTGCGAACACGTGGGAGGAACGGTAAAGAGTAACTGTTGCTCTTAGAAGAGCAACTGGTGGGAGTAATGGTTGGTCGGCAGGGAGCAACTGGTGGGAGTAACTGTTGGTATGCAGGGAGGAACTGGAGGGAGTAACTGTTCGTCTCCCGAAGGAGGAACTGAAAGGAGAGCAACGGTTCCTCCCTCTGCAGTTACTCCTTTTAGGAGAGTAATGGGAGTGGCAATGCAATTGCTCCCTGAAAGGAGCAACCCCTATACCCCTGTTGCTCCGTTTTGGCTTAGAGTGATATAGCCGCGGCCACTCATTTCGCCTTGGACTTCATGCATGGCTATCACATCAGTTACGTCGAAAACCGGGGCCGTTGAGAACCAGAAAATGAGTGTAAGTAGTGGTGTCTTCTTCGTGAAGCTCAATGAAATTTGTGCCATCGATAGTATTAACAATAATTGTTTACGTTTAGTGTCTCGAAACCATCTCATGATTATGAGAGACGCCATAGGAGAGGGCTCTAAAAATTTGAACCACGTGGGGTTCTTCAACTTGCAGCCAAATCAAAGCACACGGGCTTCAAGCATTTTGTCCTCCATCGAGAGTGCGGCCACCGCAGCTGGGATTCAATCGCGTTACCTTCGGGTCCGAATTCAGGCACTATAATCACCATTCCATCGTGTTGGGTTTCCTACCAGGCATCCATCTGTCTGAATGTCACCAAAAGCAAGTCAATTACACAAAGTGGTGTACAAATATTTCATTCATTCGAAACACAAGAAAATAATCGTGGCAGGGCAAGATGTTTGTTGAATTCTACGCTGTTTCTGATGCAACTCTGTTATTGTCTATCATTCACGCTGCTAATTGGTTATCCTACAGAAAGCACTAATTTATAAGCCAGAATCCTCAAAGTTATCTCATGTTAGCGACAATAGGCGATAAAATGAAACACCGTGCACTCACTTTTCTGGAATGGCTTTGCAAAGTGTTATAAGGAAAGGGTTGACGCCTTGAACCCGCTGCAGACCAAACCATCGATCTTCGTTCCAATGATCAAGGCACTGTACACAGAAGCAATCACGCAAACGTCACAACGTAATTCTATAGAGATCAAAACTTCCGCATGAGCATTCGATTCTGGAAACGCGAGAAAAAGCGTCGAGGATACGGTTCTAGTTAAAATGTCTCAGCCATTGTTTTGAGAACATTTTAAAGTAACTTTATTTTAAAGACCACGGGTTTATAACGAAACTTTATGCAGAGTCAGTTCTCAAGCCCAGACGCTTCATCCATTTTGCCAGTTGCGCCGAAGTGCCACCACAGCCCATACCATAGGGGCCGGAAAATTGGCATGATCGAATACCTTCATCGTTAAAACCATATCACAGAAATTAGGATATATACCGGTTTGAGCGAGCAGGTTATTTAAAAAAAATGTTCGACAGCGTCATTTCCCAACTAAGCTAATGCCTTTTACTGCGACGTTGTACGGTGCAAAGGCAGCAGTTAAGCGGTCAAAAATTCAGCTGACTGCATCACTTGTTTCACCAACTGGCGCCTCTATTGGCTAAAGTCGCGACCTTACATGAAGGTTCATATGCTTGTACGATGCACACAAAAAGGAGCTAAAGCAGGCAATTTTTTTTAAGTTCAGCACACTTTGCCACTTACAATAAAACTGCCGGCGAACCCATATTATTGCTCGCATGGACATTTGAATGATTAGATGTTATTGGCAGGAAGTAACTGAAGAGCCCTTCTGCAATGTGTGAAAATGGCTATTTCTTTTTGTTCGACGAAAATTGCGCATGCATTGTTCCTGAATGGGCATATGCAACATACGTCGAATGGGCAAAGTTTGAAGTTTGAACTTTATTTATGTCGCATGAAAACATGCAAATACACACAAGCGGCAACAACGATATGCCTATTGGTACAGGCCCATATATTTGAATCTTTCCAAATTACATTTTCTGAAAAATTATTCGCAGAGCTTTGTAGAGACTTTCTTCGCAAAAATAAAGCTGTTTGCCCTGAATAGCACTATTTCAGTCCAAAAACATCCATGCCAACAGCTTTACTTAATTTATCCCAAACTATGAGCTCGACCGTTGATCAGAAAATGAAAATGTTATCAAATTTTCATTCATTCAAAAAAGACATCCGATACCGCTTGTCACTCGGCACTACTAAAAACTTTGAAGTGCTATGTCGCTGCTCCACGTTCTGATGAGCTGTCTTTTACGTTAAAATACTTAAATTAAAGCTACAGATCAATGCGTTACAATCGGAATCAAGGAATCTCACATGTGGGGTAACGCAAGGACCCGTACTGGCACTTAAATTACTCCCTTTACTCACTAACAATTTCTCACCAGTGGTTTAATTATCTACATCCTGAACGCTATGCTGTAAGCCAACGATGCGGTCCTATTATTTACAGAAAGTTCGCTTGAATTTCTTCAATACGCTATTTCCAATGAACTATGATTTCATGTATAGGCGTGCAAGCGGTTCGCGTTCAGAAGAGGCGCAGGTTTATCGCAGTGTTCCCCTCCCTATTAAGTCAAATTACGGGGCGAAAGTGGTGCCCTGCCCCCTTAGGTAAATATGTGCTCCTCCCCCTGTGCAAGCCTATGGTTTCGTAACAACCAACTGTTACAGAATTACAATAAAAGAAATATGTTGCCGTTGCCCCACCCCAAAAAGATACGTTGCCTTCTTTCCAGGCTAAAAAATATGAATTACGCTTTGATTTATATATTGTTACGAGTCAGGAAGCGTTTATTGAAAACGCTCGGTGACGAAGCACTGGATGGGGTGAGGCTACGGCAGTTAATAAAGCTCTAGTTGTCTTTTTCCCAGTCAACTACAAAGTCAACAAGCCATTATCGACAAGCTGATACATAGCCACCAAAACAGCAAGACAGTATGAACAAGCTTCCTAAAAAATGTGAGGAGCAAAAAGACCTGATAGACAAGTTTTTCCAAAAATGCACGATCATTCAAAAGCATGATGCACAACCGGGTGCCCTCCTTCCCTCAGCAAATGTGGAATCTAGTGTCGACGCCCGATTCCAGACCTTACAAGAAACTTTATTGATAATCATCCACACCACCGTAGAAAATATTGTACTGACAGCAATAGCGAATTTCACCGTACGCATAAACAACAAGATTACCACGTTTGACGCCAGAGTTGACGAACTTGAAGCGCAGCTGAACAACATCCTAGCATGCGTGAAGAAGACCTACGCCACCAAAGAGCACCTCGATACTTCTCTAAGTGACGTTCATCCTGACAGGAAGCGGGCACGAGCAAAAGGCTGAAGTGCTTCTCGTTCAGATTCACCTACCCGCGAGCGCCAGCGGGGATATGAACAGATTGAAGATGGCGGTCCATTACAAGAAGACAACAAACACGCTCTCAACTCTCCGCATCTGGCAGTGGAACTGTCGTTCCGACCGTCCGCGTTTTGCTATTTTGCAAGAATTTGTCAAGCAAGACCCACCCGACCTCATAGCACTGCAAGAAACAAATACACATAATGTGCGGCTACAAGGATACAACGCCCACGTCCTAACAAAGCATACAGCAATCCTTACAAGAAAGACTCTCACGGTACAGGTATTAGAACCAGTCAACACTCTTATCGAGCACACCGTGATAGAAGTAATACCGGAAAGGAAATCGCAAAAGAGACTCATTGTTGCGAGCGTGTAGAGCTCCCCAAAAGACCAACTGCCAGAATTCGACCTCCTGGTTCGAGAACTGAAGAAAACCGCTGATTGCCATTAAGTTATTATAATGGGAGACTTTAACGTCCCTCACACGGCTTGGGGCTACCACACCAAAACAAAGAAAGGTGCCCGAGTACACGACAAGGCTCAGCAACACAGACTGTCTTTGTGGAATGATCCACTCCGGACAACAAGAGTAGGGAATAGTGTTGCCAGAGACACGAACCCCGATATCACGTTCACGTTGAATGTGCGTTCAGTAGAGTGGAGCTGTCTCCCAGAAACCCTGGAAAGCGACCCCCACATCATCCGATTAAGCATAGCTCACACCCGCAAGCCCCAGAGGATTGGCACGACCCAAATAAGAGAGTGGGGTTCCTTCCGAGGTGCTCTAAATGTTGAGACCACCATCGATGACGTAGACGATTGCGTGAGGAAGGTCCTCGACATTGCTGACCAGCAGACCAAAAGAATACAGTGAATGAGGACGCACCTCCTTCATCTCTGGGAAGCAAGATCTCTTCTCAAAAGGTGGAAGAGGCAGAGGCGAAATAAGAAACTCGGGAAGAGAATCGCCCTGCTAACTGAACAAGTGCAGGAATATGCAGAGAGGATAGGAAGACAGAACCGGTCTGCATTTTGCGACGCACTACAGGGAACTTTAAGCACAAAGAAACCGTGGCACATTCTGAGCGCTCTTCACGACAACAGCCCTAGAAGGGCGGAGCAGCGAGAAAATATTTGCAGGCTGATACACAACTACGCCGGATCAGAGGAGGACCTCCTTCGAGAGCTCCAGAAGAAGCTGTCTGGAAAAGCTCCCATACAAACAACGGCACATGGCAAAGCCTACAACGGAAAACCAAGCCCTGAACTTGATAACCATTTACGCTGGCTGAACTAGGTGCAGTACTAACTACGCTCACTAAAAACACCAGCCCAGGGAAAGATCGCATTATAACAAGCATCTCCGCAACCTTCCGCAGCAGGCCACCGATGCCATACTCCATGCCAGCAATGCTTGCCATACCGTTGCCAGCAATGCTTGTTGGGAGAGTGGTGAAATATCAGCTACCTGGATGCATTCAGAGATTGCTATGATGCCGAAACCCAACAAGCCCCTCAGCATCGAGAACCTGCGCCTCATTTCCCTTACCTCGTGTGTAGGGAAAATATTCGAGCGCGTGGCACACAACAGGCTAACCCCGTACCTCGAAGACAAGGGATATATTTCGAACACAATGTTCGGATTCAGGCAACACCTATCAACGCAAGACTTCTTCCTTTTGCTCAGGGAAGACCTCACCGATCACCTGAGCACCAGAAGCAAATCTTCAATCCTAACCACTGATATAAAGGAAGCTTTTGACCACGTCAGCGACGACAATATCCTCTGCAATCTTGAACATCTGGACAGCGGGCCTTGGTTATAAGACTACGTGAGAAGTTTCCTCAAGCATCGCACGGCCATCGTGGGAATTTACAACATTCGCAGCGACACTTTTTGACTACCGAACAGAGGTACTCCACAGGGTTCGGTCATTTTGCCGTTGCTTTTCAACGTTGCATTGATCAAGTTACCCAGCCTCTTCGATGCTATACATGACTTGCGACATGCCTTTTATGCGGACGACATCACGTTATGGACAAGGGCCTCAAATACCAGAATGCAAGAAATGTGCTTACAAGAAGCAGCAGATATTATGGAGAGGTACTTGAAAAAATGTGGTCTTGAATGTGCTCCCGAAAACTCGGAACACCTCTATCTGAAGTGTAGAACGAGAGGGTGGCCTGCCACCTATTGAACCTGATCCCAGCGTCACCCTCAACGGAAAGCCTACCAAAAAAGTGAAAACATTACGAGCACTGGGGCTCCACATCCACAAAGACGGATCAGGTGCGGCCACAAACCCTCGACCACAGCGCACGCTATCTCAACTCACGCATCTCGTCAGGCGAATCACGAACCGTAGAAGCGGCCTTAAAGAGCAAGACACACTGCGCGTGGCACAAGCTCTCCTCAGCATTCTAATAACCTATGGCACTCCCTACCTAGCTCTGAAGAACGCAGAGGTAGAGAAGCTGTACATCAGAATTTGTAAGGCCTACAAAATCGCTTTAGGGCTCCCATTCATCACTTCCACGGCGAAGCTACTAAAAATGGGCGTGCACAATACCTGGAAGGAACTAGCCGAAGCTAGCACGACTAAAGCTCTCGCCCCCTGGAAGATCAGTGCTACAATGGCTGAACTATAGCGAAACCTTTATAGACGACACAGACGCGGACCTTAAAGAACGGATTCCACCAAACATCCGCGAA